TCTGGTTACAGGCAGGCAGCACAGGTCCAGCAATACCTAGGTGTTCCACTTGGGTGACAGCAAGTGACCTAGGGACTCTGTCCCTCAAGAAAAGTCCAGTGCTTCCACACTGTCCCAGTGTCTCCATGCCAACCATGGACCTTAGCTGCCCTCCCTGCAGCTTGCTGTGGTCAGGGGGAGTGGGAGGAGCAGCTGACACCCAAGTGTAATATTGGGGACTTCCACCACAGCTACTTGATGCTGGTGAGCCTCCTATTCAAGCTGAGGTAGACTTGTGTCCCATGTACAACTCAACAACAGGGCAACTGAGGCACAGAACTTGGGAGAAGCAAGCAGGAAGGGCAGAGGTCCTGGAATCCCCTTGCAGATCATAAACTTTACACAGGTGCATCCCTGACCCCAGCAAAGACTATCTCCCTGGAGGAAGAAAGCCACTGGGGGTGCCTCGCAGCAGCCATAGGCTAAGGCTCCACTGTGGTCTAACTGGTCTCTGGGAATGCTGAAGAATGGGAACCTGGGAAGGTCCTGCCGATCACCCCAGCCTAGCAGGCAGGGGTCAGTCCTAGGAAAAGGGAATGAGCACCTCCACATGACTGTCAAATCACTGGCCTTTTCTTCCAGCCTGGTATATGGCTCCCATCAGATGCAGGAACTATGTTTTAGCCTCTGCTCCTGAGCCCTGAAGGGGTCTTCCTGACAAGCAACTTGGGGCTAGCACTAACGCATGCCTACATTCTTATTCCATGTCCCTTCCCCTGGTGGCTCAAAAGCTGGAGTAACAGGCCTGTCAGACCCTACACCAGCCAGCTCCAGACAACCAGGACAGGGAATGTACCCAGTCCTGGCATCAGCCAGGGCCAGGTGCCCACAGGAATCCTGCCAGACTATGGTGATGACTGCTACCCATCCTGCCTATAGCCCAGAGTTTCTTCTTATGTACCTGAAGTACTCAAGGAGGAACACAGGGGATTGTTGCGACCCAAGGGGTCCCTTTAGGCCCCCACACTCTCTGGTCTCCACCCTGCAAAATCCCAAGAGCCCTCAGATACTCTTGCTGGCCCAAGACTCTCTGGGTGCCCTTGCCCTTCCAGGGGCTGGAATAAAAACCAACAAGGCCAATGCCATCTATGCCCCTACCCCATCCTGCTCCTCATCCAAGACTCCTACCTCAACACTCTTATGTCCTGGCTCTCCTAGGCAAGTACTGAGAAGCCTGGTGCCGAGGAGGCCCCAGGCCCCAGGCCCCAGGGAGGCCCGAGGCAGGAGAAATCAGGAGGTACCTCAGGGGAAACTGTCCCTAAAGGACAAACGGGTGCTGGGATCTGACAGGTTGAGCTGGCACAACAAGGACATAACCAGGGATGAGCAAGCAGGAGTGAGGGTTGTGGACATGTCAGGATGGGTTAGGCAAGGAGAAGGGAGGAGGAGATGATGGAGGGGGGAGGAGGGAGAAGAGGAAGAGGAGGAGGAGGCGGCAGAGGAGGAAGAGGGCGGCGGCGAGGGCTGCTTGGTACCATCTTCAGCCTAAGGTGTCTGCCCAAGGGCAGAGAAGCGGTGAAGGGAATGAAAAGACAGGTCTCTTTGGGGACTCCAGAGGCGGTGGGCCCAGGGCTCGGAGCCCCTAAGCTGAATGTTGTGCCCCAGCCCCGCTCTGTCCCAGGACCCTGGACCTCGCCAGAGCTGAAGTCTAGGGACCACCTGTCCCCACCCCAGCCTGCCAGAGAGCGCTGCGAAGGGCGCCGGCCCGTGACTCAGCCGAGCGAGCAAGCGTAGCG